ATCTATCTATCTATCGAGATATTAAAATATTAAATAAATAAATATGTAAATACAAGGTATGTTTTAACATATACAATTTTTCTTTCCCCATAAAAACAAAGAAGCTTTCATTTTTGAGATGCTAGTGGATTCCTTAATAATTTTAGGTTGCTAGTACAGGCAATAGTTGAGATTTTTATTTTCTAAAAGAATTTAGGTTTTTAATCTCATACTTCTACTATCATTTAAAAAAAAATTCGGCTGCTTAAATTTAAATTTTTACTAAAATTAATCAAATCTAATTTAAAAAAACTAATAACAAAGCAAATGAGTACCTTCAGATCTCAACCTTTCACATATATCTAGCTCTATAAATGACTTTAAGACTTTATTAGTACACTACTCGTGGGTTAATTAGAATATCATAGGAGAATTTATCATTTTTTTTATTCTTATGTAATTTTTAATAATTATTTTAGTTCAAAAATAAGAATTTTCAACAATAACTAATATAACTAATTAAAATAAATCTTCGATCATTAAAGAAATTATTGGTGGTTCGCTTAGGTTTGAGGACCACTAGACATAATGTTTGTAGTATTTTAATTATATTTTAATTTTTTTACAATTTTTAATTGATTTTAATGAATAAATAAAAAGAAAACATATTTCATTTCAAAAAATACATTTTTTATATTTTTCATAAGTCTCTCTTATTTTAGGAGACTCAGAGAAATTAATTTCATCTTTTTGTGATTTTTATTCCTTTTATTAAAATTATTTTATTCACAAATTAAGAAAAATACATTTAATTATTAAAAATACATTTCTTACACCCTTAAAAAATTACAAGCACATTTTTTAGGTTATTCTCTATGGTTATGGAAATATTTAAGGCAATTTAGAGTATTTTCATTTTTTTTAAGTTTTTTGATTTTTTTAATTATTTTAAAATTAGGAAAAATAACTATATAATAAAGTTTTTTTTTAACTTCAATTTTATTTTTCTTAAGTTTCTCTGGTCTAAAGGAACACTCCAAACCAATGTTTACAATTTTTTTTTATTTTATTTATTATAATTATTTTAAACCAAAATTATTATTTACTTAGAAAAAAAGTTTTTATATTAAAAAAAAAGAATTATGACCTTCAATTTTTTACAGAGGCCTCCTTATATCATTATCTACAACTTGGCCAATTTTAGTGATTATTTGAATTATTTTACATTTTTCTAATTTTTAATGATTTTTTTTAATTTTAAATAAGAAAAAAGATTTGAAAAAGTTTTAAATCTAACTTTTTTTTCCTAAGATTCTCTGATCACAGTGAACCTATCAAATATCATTTTATATTTTTCTGACTTTTATTTTATTTTTTTATAGTTTTCTTATTTAAAATGATACCAAATCTTTCAAAAATTGGGGCTTTTAATCATAATGATGTTCTCTGGCCATGGAAAAATCAAAGCTCATGAAGAATAACTCCTAAAAAATTTATTTAAATTAGATGTTGATCATAATGATGTTCTCTGGCCCTGGAAAAATCAAAGCTCATGAAGAATAACTCCTAAAAATTTTATTTAAATTAGATGTTTATTTAATTACTCTCTAGAATATTTAATTAATTTAAAAATAAATATAATGAAAATGTTTTTAATTTTTAGCTCGTATTTTGTCCTCTATTCACTGAGCACAGGAGCATTTTTATTTTATTTTTATGATTATTGTACACTAAGATATGAATTTGTAAAATTTTTGTCTTTATTTAATTCCAAAATACCCTATTTATCTACTTATCCGAGTTGGTGTTGTGTCATCCTTAACATCTCCGAAGCGCCGTGTCGTCCACTGATTGGTGGCGCTTTCCACGTAGCCTATTGACTGTGCTCGTTGTTCGTGAAACATCACACCGTTTGGCTTCATCTCGATCATCCGTTCAATACACGTGAAAATGGAATAACATCTGTTCAACGTCCCCAATCTTCCTAACCAGAGAACTATCTGTGTTCTAGTCCTAATATCTCGCTCAATTTTCAACCAAATCACATGGAGTTTGTTCCCACACCTTCTTCTAAGTGAGACAAACCTATTTATACGGTTAAATACATATGAAATACAAGTTCTCTTCACAAAGGATGAAACCGAGGTAAAATTTAGAGATTTTGAGGTCTTGATTGGGTTGGTTATAGACGATCATATTGAGTCAATGAAACTCCTCGAAGTGTTGTTTTGAGCTGAGGCACGACCTAAGTATGACTTCGATCGAAAAGTGACTTGGGCTTGGTCAAAGACTAGGTTAGAGCATTCGAGAGATGGGGCTTTTAATTGAGGAAGTGATCTTAAGCTCTCTTGAAGCTTAAGAGCAAGTCAATTAAGATTATTGGTGGAACTTGTGGTATGAACGTGAAATGCCCTAGATTTTGAGCTCAAATTAAGTTTGAACGGCAGGGGAGATGGGTTGGCAAGGATTGGAATGAGCTTAGGAAAGCTGGGAGAGGCTCTGGAAGCAATTAGGCAGAGTTTTCCCAAGGATTTGGATGATTTCTCATTTAGGTCGAGGAGGGGGCCATTTATAATTAAGGACAAGGAGGAGGCCTTAGGCTGACATTGGCTGGTGCCAATAAGCTTAGGTGGAGTGCTGAGCGGTGCAAGTGACCAATTGGAGATTACCATAAGGAATGGATCGAATTTGGGGTTTAAGGAATGGTGGCCTCTCTCGGTTTTGGGTTTTGATAGAATTATATTAGAGTTATCATAATTCAAAGAGGACCTTTGAGGAAAAATAATTTTTATCCTAATAACAGAATTAAGCAATGAAGCTTTCAAAACAGAGGTAACTAAAACATTATCGACGTGCAAATCCTTCTAAGCATGGATAGCAGAATTGTTTAAAATAGCCAAAATTTGATTTGACTACAACATTGCTTCGAAACCATTAAACATTCATTAACATGATTAGTAACATCATCCTCTTCATCAGATTTTGAAATATTTTCATCAACTAGAGTATTAAGATCAGATGTCATATCACTAAAATAATTAGTAATAAAAACATTAGGAATAGTAATACTCCTAATTTCATTATCTTCAAGAACCACATTATTAATATTAACTGAATTAGAGAAAAATAATATAGAAATATTAATTATATGGTTAATATGAACAAAATTTTGTTTCACAATCCATCTATTATTCCTAGAAGCAGAAACCACATTAGCTAAAATAGTAGAGGTATTCTTAGAGCAGTTGTCTGGATCATAACCAAAAGAAGAACCAGTTTTACACATAATAGGCTTCAATTCATATATAAGTTGCAGCTTAAAATCTTTTCCGTTAAAATTGAGTGTAATAAAATCAGGACAATAAAAATCCACATTAGCATGAATATTAACACGAGGAAATGATAACCTAGAACCTTTTGTTGTTAAAGAATCAACAGCAAGAGGAATCCCTACCTTGCTAGCAACTTTGGAAAATCAAGATTCAGACCAACAACATAAAGGAAAATTAGGAAACCAAACCCAAATAAGAATTTCCTTAAAAACCTCTTTAATAAGTTCAAAATCATGAGATCATCTTTTAAAAATAAAAGATTTACCATAAATAAACCAAGGAGCACCTAAAAAAACCACTTTTGAATCTTTTAAAAAGTTAAATTTAAAAAGAAAAAAAAAGAATCCCTTCATAGTTCAAATTTACCTTTATGCTTTCAAATCTTACCCAGAATTTGCAAAAGATTTCCATAGAATGGTGGTTTACCAAATGAATATTCAACTAAAGTCATTTGTCACTATTAGAACCTTCATCAATTTCTTGATCTGCAAATATAATTTTTTTCTTACATAGAAGGAACATCATACAAATTAAAAGTAGGATTAAAAGTATGCGAAGAAATAAGACTTTTCTAATTCATAGTCAGTCGTTGGATTAATAAGCAAGGAAACAAAAGATGAAGTTAAAGGAGGAAAAAAATTAGAGCTTATAATGAACAAGGGGCTAAAAGCCCATAAACACCACATCTAACCAAAAAAGAAAAATGAAATAAACCAACAAACAAAAAAAGCTAAAATGCTAGAACAATAGAATAAGAAAAAGAAAACAACACCAAAATGACGCAGCCACAAAGAAAAATCCTTAGTAAACTCAAAAAGAAAAATAAGAAACAACCTTAAAAAATTAAAAAGAAGAATAAACCCTTAAAAGAAACATAAAAGAAGCAAGAGAACTCTCCAAGAACCCAACAAAAAAAGGGAAGGAGAAGCTTGCAGACACCACATGCAGGATGCATGCGGTGTCCGATCTCGGCCGTTCATCACCGCAGAGATAGAATTTAAAAAAAAAAAATGAAAGTGGGCTCCACCTCCGCTGTGATGGACGACCGAGATCAGACCCCCGCATGCATCCTGCATGCGGTGTCCGCACGGAATAATTTTTCCTGAGAAAGGGCAACTGCCCTACTCAAATCACGCCAATGCTCTGTGCATCTAGCTCTCCCTCTTCCGGCGGATAATGAGAGTAAATATTTGAATGCTAAATCAATAAACATATTAATATATTTTTGAAATAATGAAAATCACACATTATTTTATTGAGAGGAGAACAAAAATTATTAAACAAAAGTTATAACAAGACAATTCACAATACAACTCACAAAATAAATAAGTAAACAAACACTAAAAATAATAAATAAATAAATAAATAAATAAATAAATAGGAGTAAAATATGATACAAGTAAGATTTTATTGTTCCATATATAAATGAATAAAATTTGTGATATGCCACGTGGACCCTTACTCGGCTGACATCACCCAGCGCTAACGATGGCGCAGAATATTTAATAACTCTAGTTCAGTCCGGGCCCACATGACGCAACCGGTACCCATCGCGGGCCACGTGACGCGAGCCCGCCGATCACGCTCCTCCTCTCGCCTTCGCATGACGTCACCCTCCACGTGAAATATCTTTATATAAAGCCCCCCCGTCCCTTCTCCAGACCTACTGGCCACATGTCCTACCCGGCTATGGGAACGGAGGCGGCGCCGTTAGGCAAGCGGGCCAAGCGGCGGCCTGCGGCGACGCTCTCTATCGACGCCGGCGAGCCGCCGGAGAAGAGGATGGAGAGGCTGATAGAGGAGAGTCCGGTTGTGATATTTAGCCGGAGCTCGTGCTGCATGTGCCACGTCATGAAGAGGCTGCTCGCCTCCGTTGGGGTCCACCCCACCGTGATCGAGTTGGATGAAGAGGAGGAGCCGGCGGCGGCTCCGGTGGCGATGATGCCGGCGATGTTCATCGGCGGGGAGGCGATAGGAGGGATAGAGGGGCTTATGGCTCTGCATCTTAGTGGGCGGCTTGTTCCTAGGCTTCGGGAGGTGGGTGCGCTTTGTGGATGAAGGTGTAATGATGGTCAAGGGTGTAAAAATATGCTTTGCTTGGTAGTGGGGGGAGTGGGGGTGGTTTGTAAATAAAATTATATGATGTAAAATTAAGAAAAAAAAAGGAATGGTATTACGTAAGACCACAATAATTGCATGTTTTTTGACTTTTTTTCTCAACCGGTTTGCTGCAGTGGACCGGCCGGTTTTGGTTTGCTAGGCAATATATCTAGGGTCTCTTCAGGGCAGCTTGTGTGTTTCAGGATAAACAGTTTATCTTAAATGTGCCCCATGGGGACCGCTGGGGTCAACACGCGGCCTGCGTTTAGTGTAAAAAACTCAAACGCGACAGACAGCGTTTTCAAAAATGCGCAAACCAAACGGTTATGCGGTGTTTTTAAAAACGTCGCTGCACTTATAAGCTGCCCCGAACGGCCCCCTAGTATTCCAAATGATTACAATTTTAGTAATTAAAGTTTATTTATTTAACAAAATATAAGTTGGTGGCTGAAATTAAATCTAGATATATATTATGTAAATTTTTAATTGCACGAAGTTGATAAAAAATTGTGCCATTTTTTCACTGAAATATCAGTCTCAATTACTGAATTTCTTTAAGGGAACGATACAAGTTACTAGAGAGATTATCATGGATGCATGGGAGTTTCCATGTTGGGACTCTTTATCAAAAACACGCATAAGAGTTATCAGGGACTTCAGAATCTCGAATAATTAATCCTTCTTGCATTGTTCAACATAAATATATTTTCTTAAAGAGCTCCAGTCAATCAATGTAACATTTTTATTTTTGGGATAGTTGATCTAAGATCTTTATCTTTGTTTACTCTGATTTTTCCTTTTAAGTAATGCATAATGATAATTAGGCAATTATGGTAACATTCAGCTGTTGATGAAATCTTTCTCTTGTTATTATGAATTGTATGCTGAGTTTCTGAAGTCGAGTAGTGGGATTTTTGGCGCGAAATTGGGAATTTTAACATCTTATTGTTGAATCTTAAGATAGAAGATTCATTATGTTAGTAATCTAAAAAACGGATACGCGCTGAAAACTGTTCTGCAGTTTCTGGTGCTTAGGCTCCACGGGCCAGGAGCCTAGGCGCCAATCTCTCGGTTTGTCAATTATGGTATGGGCACTAAGGCACCCAAAAGTTTGGCGCCAAGGTGTTGTTGTAGTGGTGTCTTGGCGCCCACTGGCTAGCATTAGGCGTCAACCTGTTGGGTTGCTAGGTTGGGATGTTTTAAAGATATTTTAGTAATATTTTTATTTTTTATATTGAATATAAAATTAACTAATTGTAGTTTTAATGTTCTACCCCTCGACCTAGGCTATTCATGTCATTTGAGATATCATTCAGAGCAAGTACGACTTAACATACTTGTCGTGGAAGGAGATCCTGATAGACATTCAAGATCTTTAATTTCAAGTGTTTGCAGTAAGTATCGTTCACAAATATCTTAAACAGATTTTATTTAATTTTCATTTAAACATAATCCCTGTAATATTTGCAGAAAATTTTCTTGGCGCCCTGAGCACGAGATGCACATTCGGTGCAACTTCGAGTGGAAGGGCAAGGATCGCCTCCTAGACATGTTTAGCGATATCGAAAAATCACGACATTGTCCTTTGTGGCTCAGAGAGGATGTTTTCTCAACGTTGCATAGGGTCTTGGATTCTTCTAACTACCAGAAGAAAAGGGAGCAGGCAAAGCATAACTGGCAGTCAGAATGTAGAGGCATGGGGCCCTCCAAGCACATTGTTTGGGCGCTCTAACATACAGAATACAAACAGAGGCTGATAATATTTCTTTTATTATATAAGGTTTTTAATAGTTTGAACACATGTTCTAACAATTTCATTTAATAGTCAAGTTTTCAAGAATGGACTAGAACCCTCCGCCACCGATTTACATGAGGAGATCCACAGGAGGCGGTCTGATTTATTCTGGAGCGACCACAGGTCCCGTGCGACCCAAGTAATTGACTAGCTAAACTAGTTTGATGTTAATACAAGCTAGCTACAACTATATGTAATTACATTTATTTGTAGGAGAGATTCCAATAGCTTAATGAGAGCAGATCCCAAACCTCGGGAGGTATTCCGATTAATGAGTGTGATCTTTTTGGGTACAACCCGTGGAGGGAGGATACATAAAGGAAGAAGAATGATCGAGTCTATGTGCTTGAGTTGTAGGGATTTGCTTATGATGCTCACTCCTTCACCAGTGTATCTGAAACTTCTACCTCTAGCATAAAAGATGAGGAGATCTCCAGGCATGTTGCGGCATTCTCTGTCGAGATGGAGGTCTGCTACTCTCATATGAGGTCGGAGCTGGAGACCAACATGGAAACCAAGTTAAAGGCTGAGTTGGATTCCTTCCGGTAGTGGATTAGGGTTGGCAGCGAGGCAGCGACCGCATTGGAGGAGAAGGAAGCGGCAGAGGACGATGAGGATGAGGTTGACAAGATAAAGGAGAATGATTTGAAAGGGTTTTTTTCTTTTTTTTTTAAGCTTATGTACATTTCAACATATATTTTTTCTGTGAACAGTGATATACATAATTTAGAGTACATATATTATATTTATTTTATTATTTGATTGGATAATTTACAGTTTGAAAGCTATGCTATTTCATTAAATGTTTAGAATTGTATACTAAATGTTGTGATGATGGGTGTGGTAATGTAAATATGAAAGAGAGAATTTGTTTTTTTTCTTTATACTACAGGTCTCCTACGGCTTACCGTAGGTTTTGTCATTGTTCCAAACATATCCATAGACAAAAACATGGCTAGCTGATGGACATTTTTACCGAGGCCTAATTGACACATGACCGACGACTCAAGGAGTGTCACACAAAAACGACAAACGAAATTTTTTTTTTATTGATAGTTAGCCCATCGGTTATAAAAAATGATGCATAAACGACCCTTAACGAATGATTTTTACTTGCGTTAAAAAACCAACGAGTGCGACACTTTTTTGATAGTCTTCATGTCTGTTACAAAAAACAATGCATTGTCTGCTTCAAAAAACAAACGAGTGTGACATTTTTCGAACTTGTATGATGTCGTTATTACCGACGGAAGAATCTTTAGTCATACGATCCGACAATTGCTGACGACTCGAATTTTCACAAAAGAAGCTATAATATTAAATGGTCCGATAACCGTCGGTAAATTAATACCATTGAAATATTGATCGATTTTAAAATGAACGACAAGCGTTTTACCTACGAGTTTAAAATTGTTGGTAAAATTAAAAGAAATAGGTTTTCTTATCATAACTGATGAATTGTAGTCGTCGGAAAAAACCTAAATTCTTGTAGCATTAGGAATCTATTAATGAGATTTATTTAAATAAGAATATAGTTAAAATTGATTTGATTGATTATATATGATATCAGAATGAGTACTTGTCATTGCCCCCAAATAATGAAAATGTTGCACATGTATTAGTACTAGGATTCTATAAAAAAAGTGATGATGTATGGATAATGATAATGATACTATGATAGTGTATTTCATCAAATAAGTTCATGTAAATTAACCTAGAGTGGCCATGAATAATAGTTTATCGAATAACAAAAAAACTAATCTAAAATCTTAAATATCCTAAGAACTGTATCAACTATATTAATTACTTGGTCAACTTCAAAAAGTTAATTAGTTCAAAATGCTTAGATATAGAATGCAAGGCCTAACCCATAAAGGCTAACTCTAGACCTACATTGAAAGATTAATAAGTATAATCTGTGAAACATATAACATTAGATTTTCTTACTAATGTAATAAATACCATGCAATATAATAACCAAAACTAGCACTTCTTAAATATGAACTAGTATGTTAGATCAACATAATAAGTTGTCCTAGTTTGATTAAAAAAACATAATTAGTGCTTAGACCAATGTCCTAAATGGCTTTATACTTGCAAGTTTTGTATTTTAAATATCCACAATTAAAAAAATTATAATTTATTTATTTTGTGAACTACTTTATTCATTTGATTCTATATATTTTCTCATAAATCCAATTCACATAATTTTATTATCACATTAATATAAAATGCTTTGGATTGGTGAATTAAGTAATTAAATACTTGGTTGACATTTTTTACTAATTGTTAAATATCCAAGGAAAATAAAAAAATTTACAATCTATAATAAATTGAAAAAGTTCTATATCTTACAAAAAGAAATCCATAAATCTTATAATCTCTAATAAATATATTGGGATGCTCTAAAGTATCTATAACTTTCCATATTAAGTATTTTTTTAATAAGTCAAATTGGAAACTTCAAATATTGATATAAGAAATTCATAAAAAAATTGTCATTATATTATAGAAAATTTAATTTTAAAATATTTTATATTTTGATTTAATTAAAATTGAATTTGCAAGAAAAATAAAGGTTTTTAAAGTTTAATCCATTTAAAAACTTTTGAATTTGTTTAACGCATTCAATATAAATAGGTTAATGAAAAAATAATGGCCTAGTTTATTTTGAGTTGTAAAAAACCATAATAACTAGATTGGATGACTCTAAATTTTTTTCTTTTCAAAAGAATAATAGTTGAAACCCTAGCTCTGTATAAGTTTAAGTTCACTAGTCTCTTAATGAATTGTGATGTTTTAAATGTCAATACCCATTAAGAGCTCAAGAGCTTACAAATATTCATAAATTTATACTTGATCATGGAAGTGGTTCATTCAAAAACCATTATAGTGGAAGAGCTTAAGGTTTAATTAGAAGAGTATCCCTAAATAAACTATTGTATAAGCTTATATCTAATCACACATTTTCCTTAGTCTTAGATGAAGAAACTAAAATAAGAATTTATAGCTTAGGAGTACTGAATTGCTTTAGAGACAGAGCTTAATTATATTTAAGCTTTTGTTGAGTTTGTGGTTCCATCGATAACAAAGGTATATTTCGGCTAAGAAGAAGAAAATGGAGTTTACAAGAAATCAAATTAAAAATTGGAATGCATACACTGCCTCTTTTCTACTAAGATATAATTTAATAATTTTTATATCCTTAGGACTATTTTAATAACTATCGTGCTATGGATTACAAGCTATTAAGGTTTTGAATAGAATGCAAGGGAGTTAATGATAAGCTTTGGAATGATAAATTAAAGTGAATAACTTCGAATTTACGAAACCATTTAATTATGCTCTACTATGCTAGGCTTCTCCATGGTTTAAACAGTACTAATAA